ACCGTTACTCTCATATGTCTCAAATGAGTTGAAACCACCAACCAGATACCTATCCCATAGACTCCATGTATGCCATAGACTCCATGAGGGATGTAGACTCTTGACTGATAAAGTCTTTGATTAGATGGTAAAACCTCTTCAAAGTCCGCGATTCTACATTAGTCATTTTGGGGGGAATTCTCCTGCGTTCCGACCAGTGGACAAGTGCTGTTCTTCAGGTTGCATCACGACCTGCCGTGCTGGTTCCCCTTTCCATCAGGCAGATTGAGAAACAATGGAATAAGAGATACTTTTGGATTGACAAGGTCAGTTCTCAGTGTGAAGTTTGCTTGGCGTTCCGCGCGCAAGAACATTCAACTCACACCAGCTGAGAAGATGCGTGAAAAAAGCGCTTGTTTGGTCACCGAGGAGCAGGCGGCAGAGGCCTATGAGATGACACTGGCGGTGAACACATATCCCCTACTCTTTCCTCAATGCATGCTGGCTTCCTATCCTGCAGAGGTGGGCTTCTTCACACCGGTGGTGTTTGTTTCGAGCTCGATGCTCCAGCTGTTGCGAGCCGGGCGTCACCAGGAGCGACAGCTCGGGTAACCCGTTCTTCCATGTTCTTCCGCGGAAATTCAGCAGGGAGCCGGGTCACTCGGAGCGACGACCACGGGAGGTCCCCAACATTGATAGCACTTACATTGTGATGCTGGATACCATGGGCTGGGCTGAAGCACTTGCTTCCGCACCTCCTCCAAATCTCTCACAAGTTCGAGGATCTCAATCAACATGCTCTCCCAACCTTCCGTGCCTTCAGAGCATTTCCAAGCTCGTGTTCTTGAGATACATAGTCCATTACAAGACATTCATGCTTTTCAAGTGCTGCTGCTTGGTGATGAAAAGGCCATGTTTGGTCGTCACTCACTTCCTCCACGACCCACCTCTATTTATCGCCAGGTGACCGAGGCGATCTTGCGTGGTGAGCTACCTGAGACCTACCACGGGAACCTCAAGGATCTCCCACCCTATGGCGAGGTGCTTCAGGTCTTCCTGCACTGGGAGCAACGCGACCCGCCCAAACCCAAAAATCCGACGAACTCGAGAGGGGGAGCGCGGTGGCGGGCGCTGGCGGGATTGAGTTGGATTGGAGGAGCTGTCTCCAGGTGTGAAGGAATGAGTTGATCATCGGGTGGTTGCGGAACCCCTGAGAACATTTTGGACATGGCTGTGGGTCAACACCAGTAGACCTGGGTTGACCGAAAACAGATTTCTGGAGGGTGCCCAGGTGCCCACAGAGAAGTTCGGACGGTTCCAATGATCTCTAGAGTGAATCTTTCAGATCGATTCCGCCATTTTCACATGCGTGGCAATGCCACCACTTACTTTGGGGGCCTTTAGGTGAAGTGAACTTTTCCATGGCATCAGCTCGGGATGGAACTTCCCGTCCAAGACTTGGTTTTGCTGCCCTTCAAGTCGATGGCCTCGTAAAACTGGATCATTGGAATTGGAAACTCGTGATCACCTATTACTTTCCGATGACCCCCAATTACTTGAAGGATCATCTTAAGGTTTCTTGACACCAGGTAAGGTTGTGCGATCGATTTCGTTCGAGCACGCTGGTTCCTATTTGCGAATTCCTGGAATAATGCCATAAAAATTGTAGATACGAACCACAAATTCCCTTTGTGCACCCACTTGTAGCCTAGCATTGTGGATTCCATGTTTAGCATTTTGTTGCTATAATAAGCAAATTAGCTACCGTGAGCCGAGCGTCCAAAACTGCCGATGACCTTCCAAAACCGTGAACCGAGCGTGAACCGAGCGTGAACCGGAATTAGTCCCCATCAAATCGGCAATATTGGGTCCTACGTCGATGGGGGTTGTCTCCCAATTTGCGTTAACGATAGTGCTTTTAAATCGGGATCCCCAATTGAATATGCATGGATGACCATCAGCTTTAGTGGCATTTCCTTGGCAAAAGGTCAGGGAATAAGTGCTCAGTTGGAGCTGTCGTTGACAAATTGGCATTGCACAAAAACCGGTGCTGCAATAAAAGGGCGTTTTCCGATGTACTCGTAAAACTGGGTCGTTGGCACGTGACCTCGTTTAACTTGACTCCTGGACTTGCAGGGCTGTGTTTGCTTATATATCATAATATTGTTTCACGTATACCTGGACCCTCCAAAGTACCTTAGAAAATGGGACATGACCCCATAAAACAGGTAATTACTTGTACCCATTTTCCAAGGTACTTTGAGACTCCAGGTGCTTTGATTTGGCGGTTCCTGGCGTTTTCTCCCCGAAACTGGGGCCACGTTCCACTAAACCGTCAGGTGGACTTGGATCGATCTTCTCGCTGTGCACCCGGCCCCTCGGCACCTTTTGCCCCAGGCCTGGGCGACCAGGCCTTCTTCGGAGGCGCTGCGCCGCACTTCGGGGAGTTCTTCCTCTTCGCCGCACTGGACGCCCTGCGCCAGACGGATCCCAGCACAGCGGCGAAGGCGCCAGACGGATCCCAGGAAAAGTGGATAACCATGGATAACCTTTAATCATGAGTTGGGGCCGGGGGATTGGTTTCCCCATGTTTCCCCAATATCCAGAGTGTCTGCGGTGCCAACATGATGGCATGGGAGATGCGAACAGATGGAAAAAGGTTAACCCGTTTTCATGGGAAACTGACGGCGGTCACGAATTGAAACCCCATGGTGGCGTGTGCCATGTGGTGCTCGGAGTCCAGGCGGCCACGGCCACTCCGGAACGCCATAAAAATGTTCAGGTTGGACCAACAGAGGTCAAGTGACCTATTATAGGACCCTACAGAAGTACCTATAGGATAGTCTATATAGGGTTCCTCAACCTCTGTTGGGGTTTGGGTGTTTGGAACCTCTCGCCAGGTGGGCCGCCTACAAGCTTGGTACGATCGCATGGGAAGGCTGCCGGCAGTGGAGGGATATCTCCAAGCACGGCCCCCCATGGGCCCTGAAGCTCACGGGAAGCCTGGCAGTTTGATCCGCAAGTATCAGCAGAAGCTCGTCCTGAACTGGGAGGATGTGATGACTGTGATGGGTATAGTCATGAGATGTCATCAGGCTGCGGGTCATGACTCACTCTAGTGAGTGATGTGCTAAGTGGATCCAACATACCCGTATGAGCAATCGATGCATATGTGGAATTAAGATTTGCCTACATTAGGAGTGATTTTGACCCTAGAAGTCCAGTTCAACTAAATGCTGACCGAAGTGAAGAACATTCCTTGACTTGGGTCTATCTACCTAGCACTTCCTGTCCGGGTGCCCTGGAGTAGGAGACCTGTTGACGTAGGGTAGGGTAGTCAAACGCCAGGACACCCAGACAGGATGACCCTGGTAAGAAAAGACCATTCTTTTTGTCTTGGGCTTCCAGGATTAAGATGTGTTCATGGATTCGCGTGTTTTCTCATCGGAGGGCTCGACGTTTTCGGGGATTGTCGAGGTCAGTTCTTCTGCAAGGCTGGGTGTTGTTTTTTTGATCATCCGTTTCTAGCCCTAAGATTCCAGTCGTACCTTCTCAGCTTAGTACTTGAATCCCTTTTTTCAGCCATCACAAAGAAGAGTCCTCCGAAGAGTTTTGCTTATTTGGTCAATCAGTTCAACACTTATCGCCACACAACATGCACAACGAGGCCCAACGTTCAACACACCGATTTTGGCCCGGACCCGTACTCGCCGGTGTTCCTTCATTCTCGAGGAGATGAACTTCGGAGCTCCTTTCACTGACTCAACGGGGTGATATGACTCAACGTGGCCCGAAAGCCTCCCACATTTTCCACCACGGGCACACCGGACCCTGAAATTGGACGCACCAAGGCCTTCCGTGCGAAGTTCATCCGGGTATGCTGGATGATGCGGGAGGACTCCATTTTCCATGTACAAAAAAGCTAGCAACGGCTTCGTGGAAGCTGGGAAGCTTTGTGCCCCACAGGGCTCCAGAGTTTGGTTTGGATTGTGTGTTTTGAGTTGACTGCATGAGTTATATTGGAATATTTGTGTTTTGTTTCGCGCCTGGTGTCCGCGACATGGCTGACGGTGTGGAAGATGACGTGCTCAAAAAAACACATGCTTATGTACTGTACGAAACTGGTGACAGATGATGCACTGTCCTGATGCCATCGGTTAGTTTCATAATAGTTACTGCAAATAGTTGTCATAGGTGGTGCCAAATCGGAACACCTTTGGTCTACCAGTGGGGCTATTCATGGTACTGTAGTTTGATGTTTGGTACTTTGTTTTCATTTCTGTGGCCAGGTCCCAAGGGAAGCCATGATCCAGCTCAGACAGATCATTCCTCAACTTTAGATGTCCAGTGCCCATAAGAGGCCAAGCCACATTTGGAGAAGAAAACCAGCGGCCACAGCGCCGCGGCCAACGTCGCACGGTGTTTCTTTTTCCAAGAACCTCTTCAACACCTTTGGATTGGCTTTGCATGGCTCTTAGTATTTTTGGCCGTTGAATGACAGGAAGTTATCAGGAATTGGATCCCTCAGATCAGCCCAAGGGATCCAATTTGGCAGAAGTTTAGGGCCTCGGCCGCTTTTTCGCAGTTTCAACTAGGGTCTTTTGCATCACGCCACTGGGTTTGCACTCACACCACTTGGAGTTCCTGTTCTGTTTGCACTTCACCTGGCTTGGGGGCCTAAGTTAAGGAACCCCTAGGGACGAACGAGAAAGCACGGACGGGTCAGTCCCTGCTCCTGACCTGGTTGGCGCGGAGCTGAGCTGAAAACGTGTCCGATGTCTCGTTCAGACAACTCGTTACACACCCTAGATGTGCATAATTGTTTTTATACTACCAACCGCAATCTGTCTAGAATCTTCAGATTTCACCCAGGAAATCTGGACAAACCCTGCAGATGACACCGATGACACCGCCTTCCCCAACGACTCCCCATCCGCCACGTCCGACTCTTTGATCAGTCCTTCAAACAGACCAACGCGCGCATTCCCCCAACGCGCCGTCCCCCCCAACGCCTCTGGGAGGCTTTGGCCCTGATCTTGCAAAAGGCTGAGAAGTTAGGGGATCTATCGAGGCGCGATGTGATCGATGCCGGTGCTGTTTGGGGTGTGGCAGCAGATGGAAGCAATGGAAGTGACATGAAGCAACGCCGGCAACGCCGCTTGATCCATGTCAATCAGCTGCAAGTCGAGCAGGAATTCGTCATCCGAATCCCATCGATGTTTCCCCAAAACATCCCAAAACAGAAAACCCTCTAACTCCCTCCTCTGAAGCTGCCAACCTACCTTTGCCCCCTTCCGCTTCAGGATCGCTGGGGTGGTTCACTTGGTGGTCACACAGACGCCCTGTGTGTCCTGCCTGGGTGCCATGGCCCAGTTTCGTGCGCTGATGCCAGAGGCCGGAACCCGGCGGAGGCAGCCGGAACCCGTCGGGCACGGCGGAGGGTTCAAGCCAGAAGTTGGCTCAGCCAGCCTCCTTTTTACCTATAAAAACACCTTGGAACACTAGTTAAAGATCTTTATAAATTGAATGGTTTGGTTTGGTTTATAATTGTTCAAGAACAGAAGCAAGAAAACATCGCACATGCACATTTGATGTTGCTCTCCCTTGCATGTTTCATTTGGGATGATTGGTCACGTCGCAAACCTGGAAATCGGTCGCCGTCGCGTCGCCGGGGCAATGGGAAGCGTTGGTCCATCCATCATGCGTTGGATCGATGAAAGAGGAGAACAAAAACAACATGTGCGTTCATCTCCCAGTCTGTTTCAGAACGGCCCAGCCATGGACATATTTCAGTGCTAGCGTTTCAGTTCCATGAGAATGCATTGACGGATCATGACAGATCAATTTTGCACAGTCAGTTCATGTTTGCCATGTCTGCGAACGGCACAGGTGATTGGAGTGAGTTGGTTTTGTGGATTGGATGATTGGATGATGTTTTTTCTGGTTCCTGGGCGAATCCCGCCACCTGCGGAACATGTTTTTCATTTTTACCGGTTCCAAGGGTGAGTTGGATGACCCATGTCTTTCGGAGGCCTTCTTGAGGGCGGCCCTCCTGCCAGGAATTTGATCGCCAGATGATGGACTTTGAATAGGACTAAACCGAGATTCACAGAAGCCCCATGACAGCCACTTCTAGCACCTATATATTAGCACATCAACTTCGTATTCGATCTATAGTACCTCTCCCTAGGGCTCCAGTCGTACCTTCGTTTCGGTTCGGTGTTTAAGGTGGGTGTGTATTCAGGGTCCAGAGACCTTCGTTTCGCTACGACTGGAGCCCTTAGGGTCTCTAAACAGACCTCGGTGAAGTGCTCGCCCTCTCCAGGTGCACCTCCACTGCCACTTCCACCGGCTCAGGCAAGAGCGGGAGGCCCGTGCCGCCGACCCGCGCCGTGGCGGGACAAACGCGCCGCGGAGAGGGTCGCGGGCGCGCATGTCCAGGTGGACGAGGTGCTCACGGTCCTCCGAAACCATCCGCAAAAACCGGGTCGAGAACCAGGATCCTTTGTCTTTCTTTTGGGGGGTTGGATAGGCCGGCCCTGGAGCATGTTTGAGGTGGCGAATGTTCTGTTGCCCCCCAGTTTGCTCGCCGAAGCACAGTTGATATCATGTTACCATGCTGGTGAGTTCCAGAGAAATAATTTACACAGCAAGCGATTCATTGCTATATCGTTGTGGAGTTGTGGGACGAGTGCGGTTCCGCTTGCCTCAGTGGCCTTGAGAATGATTAAGATGAGAGGGTGGTGCTTCAATCCAGGAATACAGTGTTTGTCGCTTGATATGGTCAGCTGGAAAATCTTGTTCGCCTTGGGCGTAGAGTGTTGAATATAACTCCCCAGGAGATGTTTACCCGGCGGGAGGTCATATTCTCCGCGCTTTTAGAATCTTTCAACAGCGCACTTCTATCACGCAGCTTGGACAGACCATGATCTACCATGTGCATTTAAGACATTTTAAGACCGCATTCTTGGACTTCATCCTGTCAGAATTTCCTGGGCACTCTTGCTCTTTCCAGGAGCAGGTGGCACTGCCCAACCTCTTCTTCTTCTTTTTCTTTTTCTTCTTCTTCTTATTCAGGTTGAGTTCTTTTTATGGTATATAGACTGGTTGAGCAGGATGAGGGATCATGAGTCTCCTCCTTCTAACCAGACTGCGTTGGCCTAAGGAGGGAGCGGCGCCGATCGATTTGCTCCATCTATGAGACGACCAGTGGCAGTAGCGAAGGCAAGCACACCCGGTGCTCCCTACGAACGAATGTACCAGTTCTTGGTCACCAAAAGGGTTCTTGGTGGGCGTAAGAAGGATTAAGCGCGTATTGTTTCATCATATATACCACACATGAACTATAAACATATCAATATCAATATTAAATATATAACTATAAAACTTTATAGTCTAGTATATATTATCTTTAATTGACACATACGCATTCGACATACGCGTATAGTACTCGTAGCGTATGTTTGCCCATCATACATGCCGAGTCCTATTCTTGACTTGGGTTGGGTGTTGGTTGATTGCACTCTAAGACCAAGTCATCAATCTCCGGTTGACATGGGGAGGCTTTTCTAAGGATATATTTCCCTTCCTCAGAAGGTGGAAAAAAAACTGGCACCCACCCTAACCACCGAACCGAAACGGACGTAGGCAGGAGCCCATCAGGATTAATACTGTATATAAATCTATGGTCACCACAGTGGTCACTCGGTGCCGGTCTCGTAGCTTCTAGGCTTTTCGACGTCTGGAGATTTGGGTTTTCGTCTCCTCGGCCAGTGAACTGGCAGAGGGCGTCTGCCTGGATGGCTGCGCCAGGCCAGCCATCCTTCTCCGATGCTCTGGAGGTCTTCCGACGCATGCTCCGTGTGGTGAGCATGGAGAAGGACCGGTTCTTCTCGGCGGGAGGCACTACCCCAACTACCCTCGGTCCAAAGGCCAAAAAGTATCCAAAAGTGTTGGCAAATTGCGGCCTGCTTTTCCGAGCAGTCCGAACCAAGACGTATACTGGCGAGTTCCGCCGGTTCTCCCGCTTGTCCGCCGCCGGTTCTCCCCGCTTTTCTCCGAGCGAGACCGCCATCCCAAGTCCCAGACGCTCCATCGTTCGGGATCCAGTCGTAGCTTCGTTTCGAAGGTGGGACTGGGGTGGGTGCCAGGTCCAGTCGTGCCGTACCTGAGAAGGTACGACAGGATCCCGACCGGGCATGTTTGTCATAGGACTGCCGCCCCAGAAAGACCCCTCCTGGCACCACTCCTCCCAGACACGTGGTGTCTGGGACTGATTGGGAAAAGACGCGACTGTCCCGTGGAGTGCCAGCAGAGGTTGAAGAACCCTATATAGGCTATCCGATATCCTACAGGTACCCCACTATAGGGTCCTATAAGGTCACTTAACCTCTGTTGGTGTGAGTTGTTGGGTGTTGAATGGTTTGGGACTTTGAATGGAAAGGTCATGTGATTGTCACACCAGCAGAGCTATACCGGAAATCGGAGGACATCAGCAAGTGATATAGATGTTGTCCCCTCCAGAGAAAAGGCAAAGTTGACATCCATTTTCCCCGAACAGATGAGTTTATTTTACACTTTCACTATATGTTTCACTAGTCCTTTGAGAACATATGTAGGTCGCTTGAACGTAGGGCAAGGAGGGACTGGATAAGAACAATGCTGCTGCTGGACCGGCGTGAGTGGAAGCAGTTGTAGGACACGAAGGCCAACAGAAATGGCCTCTGACCGAGAACCTGATAGATGGAATCAATTTGTGTTTTGCCAGATCTGAACATTCTGAACATTGCGAGGATGTGACCCGTCCATTCCAAGACCTTGGGGGCAAACTGCCCCTGACAGGTGGAGCTAAGTTGTCCTGTCGGACCCTACCTGCCCTCATTCTTCACTTTTCCTGAATGGTATTGGATGGTACTGGCCACCCAATCATGGAATCAACAACTGGTCCAGTGATCACTACATTTGGCTCGTTGCGCATCAAGGATACTCAGCAACCTGAGACATCCTGAGAATAGATTTGCAGGCTCAGATTATATCAGCGACTTTCATGGTGATACACTTAGCTCGTCAAATCCAGCTAATTCATGCTAATATGAAGCATCATCTTAAGTGAACAAACCGCTTGCTGTGGCTAGGTGACACCATGAAAGCACTTCGGCAACCCATGTTATTGGCTGTTGCACCTCAGGCCGCCCTGACGTCCAGTTCCGTGCCGCGACACGGACCTTTACCACACATCCGCGGACACCGCACGAAAGGGACCGTGGGAGGTAAGGATCCGGAGGGTCCGACCACAAGGTCCAGCGTTGGACTTCCAGACTTGCGAGAATCTTTGCCCGAGAGCATCTTGGGAAGACTGGCCTTTCTGATGCAAAGATGGTGGACGGATAAAAGGACCGATCTGTATCCGCCCCATCTGGACATCTGTAATTCCGGGGGGAAGTTCGGCGTGGCGATCCCGAAGCCGGAGCTGGTGTTGCGGAAGGGCTTTCCGAAAGGGTCATGGGAGTGGAACATGCACATGTATGGCGCTGCGCTCTATTGGCAGCTCGCCACCGCGACGGGTGACTCCATGTCGGACACGGACTCAGAGCTGCTCCGCGGCAAGAGGATCTTGGAAGTCTCGTGCATGCGCGGCGGCGGGGCGAGGTATCTAGCAGAGGTCACTGGTGCTGGCAAATATGTGGCTGTGGATGAGAGGGAAGAGAACATTGAAACATGTAAATCACATGATCCATGGCCATCCTTGTCCTATGAGCGGCTCAGTGTCAGGGACTTCTCCACGAGGTTTGCGGCTGGAGACTTTGATGTCTTGCTCTGTGTTGAAGCAGGGGCTGACTTTGAGAAGGTGGAATTTGCTGAGCAGGCAGAGCACGTTCTGAGTTCGGGTGGGCTTCTGCTGATGTGCGATGTCTTCATGAAAGACCAAGTGAGGGAACTGCTCAGCAACTTAGAGCATCACTTTGAGGTGCTGGTGTGCCAGGATATAGGGAAGTGGATCCGTCCAACCGGTTTGTGTCCGATAGATATCGGAGAGACCGATGGGGTGGCTCCATGCACTTACCTGCGAATTGTGGCCAGAAAGAAGTGAACGAAAAGGCATGGCTCTCCGCAACACGGCACAACATCATGTGTTGTTGTTGGATGCCAGGTTTGGTGGGCAGATCCAGATTGCTCCGTCTTGAGAGGTAAATCTTGAAGGTTCTGAAGGCGATGTTGAGCGTTTCAGCCACCTCCGCCAGGTACTCGACACATGGTCATCCGAACTCGGGGAACATGCCATCCACGTAGCCATGATGGTCTCAGGGAGTGTAAACTTCTTCCTCAGGAGGCGGAGCTCCTGAACGTTTTGGGTGCTGCGGGCACGGCGGAAGAAGATCATGGCCTTCCTTTGCCCGAGTCGGCTCCTACGTTGCATGTTTCAGGTATGTTGCATCATGGCCGGCCGTATGTTTCGAGTTTTCGGGTAGTTTGTCAGTCATACCTATAGAACCTCTTCTTGGGCAGAATGAAGTTGGCGGAAATTATTGCTTAATGACGCTTCATGAGGTTCTAGGTAGTGTTTTAGGATGTTTTAGGTATGTTCCACTTCCGCTATCATGACATGAGCGGTTTCCGCGCCAGGCTTCCCTCCTCGAAATGTGAGCAAACGCCTCACCTCACTCGCCGCATGTGTTGGGATGACGTGAGAGCATTGGGTGCTCGGACCAGGTTGGGTACTCGCCTCTCCACCACGCTTGAGCGATCGGCGTTCCTTTTCCGCTCATTGCTGAAATGTTGACGGGGTGGGACCTCCAAGAGCCCAGGGCGGTGAACGAGCCTCCAAGATGTGTTTTTCTTTAATTGTGTGTTATTGATTTTGCATTAAAACGATGAACATCCTATGATATTGCATTGCAAATCCATTATTGTTCATGAAAGAAACTTCATCGTATGTATTAATGCTGATTAGAACCTGTACGCCGCCGTCCTCAGGTCATGTTACCATCTCCAGGGACCTTCCACTCCTTGATTGGCATGGCCATGGCGGAAGCTCGACAAGTCAGCGACACAAAGCGAGACACGGTTCTTCGCTGGAAAACCGCTGTCGAAGCAAATTTACCAACAGAGGTTCTAACCTGAACCAAGACCTGGGGTACCCAACTGGGATAATCGAAGAGTCCGGTTCTTGAACCATTGAAAAGTTGACCAGAGTCAGTTGGGTCGGTTGACCTGGAGTCACTGCAAGAGATCAATATGGAGTCCTGGAGTCTCATGGGAAGTGAATGGAAGTGACTTCAAGGAGTTTGTCCATGCTCTTCGTGGTCCTTAGCTACTTCTTTTGCTGCAGGCAAGAGGCTCTTGATCAATCAAACCCTTCCATGATCTGCCATGCCGGAGTGTCATCATATGTGTGATGTTTATAAACTAGAAACTACAGGGCCATTTTTGATTGGTTTTTCTACTCACTGAACCGTGCTTGGCTTTTTGCCAATGTGGAAGCAGGATTTCTTGTCACTGAGGAAGGTCGCGTGAAGGAGGCCATCGGTCTCGTGAAGTATCAGCGCTTGAAGGACGTGATTCGTCTCGTGACAGAATGGATCAAGGAATCTCCATGAGCGTCCTTCGATTTGATTAAATAGCACAAACTTTATTGTTGTAGTAGTAGCACTCGTAGTAGTAGTCGTCGTGGTGGTGGTAGTAGTAGTAGTAGTGCTAGTGGGAGTAGGAGTAGGAGCAGCAGCAGCAGTAGCAGCAGCAGCAGGAGTAGCAGCAGTAGCAGTAGCAGTAGCAGTAGGAATAGGAATAGGAGTAGCAGTAGGAGTAGGAGTGGGAGTGGTGGTGGTGGTGGTGCTACTACTACTACTACTACGACTACTACTACTACTACTACTACTAATATATGAATACCGTAGTAATTGTTGTTACTAATTACTATTGTAAGTTAGTTGCAAGCTATTATTGGTTGTACTCTATACCATCCTTGCTCTCTACGTGTTCTTCGAATTTCCTCGACCTGATTTGTGCTCCAAGCCTGCCTGCCATGCCCCACACTTCATCAAATCCAGTCCTCTCTGGGGTCCCAGGAGCTGCCGGTGTTCGCCCGTTCCCTGGCCATGTTGGCGGAGGACCTCCGTGTGCCACCGCGCCTGGCGATGCGCTTCCTGCACGAGCGCCCTGGAGTCCATTGGTCGACGGGAATAACATGGGAGTCGAAGGAATGCTCAACCTCAAGGAGCCAACAGAGGTGGAACGTGACCTGAACGTTGACCCGGAAAACCTGGGGTACCGAACTAGGATAGTCGAACGTTCGGGTTCTGAGCCACCTTTGCTGGACTCACATGTCCCATCCGTCGGGGGCCGTGGATGCGAAACGAACGGAGGGGGCAGCACCGGCAGCCCACCCAACTCCATCCTGGCATGCAAATTGGCTGTATACACATCTATATGGCCCAAAGGTACATAGTGAGAGTTACCCTCCCTCCAACTCCATTCATGGAAGTGGAAAATAGACCGGATTGATGGCCTTTCAAGGGGCCATGTTCCACTTCCGTTTCACAGAGTGTTCATTGACTGTTCCATCTTGGTTTGTGAAGTGGTTTGATCTTATATCTCATGTGCATGTTCATGAGCCTCACAAGTACTATGACTCTGCGGCTTCTTTTCTGACACCTGCCTTCTGCCCCCCTGGGCCCCTGGGCCTCACGAGCCGGTGGAGCCAGTGTGTGCGACACTCGTCGACTCCCCGAGGAGCCAAGTGGCTGGACACCTGGCCTCTCGACGGTTGCTGAGCTTCCTCTTGAGGCGCCTGGCCAAGCTGGACCGTCCCGATGCCTCGCGCTTGGCCGACGCCTGGCAGAGTGAGGTCCCGACCGGGACACGCGCGCCCGTGTCCACCCACGGGGCATCGTGAAACAGAGTGGTTCCAAGGGCAGCTGGGCTTGGGAGCCCTTGGACAGGGCGAAGTCACAGCGACCGGAGGCAAAAGCGAACGAGAAAGGGCCTGTTGCCTCCATATGGGGGTGCAGGAAGAAACATGTATAATATAGACTCTTGATTAATAAACACCTCCCGTCGGGGCCTCCCGCTTGGATTGAAAAAGCGTTTGATAGGGGTGAAAATTTAATGAAGTTTATCAAGAGTCTCCATTACTAGCCGTTTGACCCATTTCAGAGGGCAATTTGCTTGTTCCTTCATGTTGATTTGTTTGCTATATACCCGTTCGAGCTGCCCCGACGGACACGAAAAAGAAATGCTAACTGCAGTAAGCCAAGTAAACCTCCCTAGGGATCCAAGTACCTTCTCAGAAGGCACTTGGGCCCTCCAAACCCACCCCAAACACCTTCTGAGAAGGTACTTGGATCCCTAGGGCCTTTTTACGGTTCGTGTAGGTTCGTGTATGTTCGTTTAGTTTCATTCGACCTTGTTCTTTAGGTCGCTTCGATTCACGGGCTTTGCTGAGCATTTGCTGAACAATCGTCACTCCAAACCTCTCAAATACCTTGATTAGAGGTTGATTATAGGGTAGAGTGACTGAGTACCCTATTATATAAAGGGACAAATCTGTGTCACTCTATACACTCAAAATCTGTTTGGGGAGTATACCATTGATTAGTACCAAGGGGTGCCCAATGGAAGCCTATAGGTAGTGTGGGGTAGTCCATTGGACACCCCGACAGGAGGGTCCTGGTACCTTGATTAGTACCTTGATTAAGGCTGTCCGGTGTTGGGGAAAATCCGAAAATCGCTGGCGATCCTAGGTCACCTTTTTGCGAAGATGCTGCCGCAAAGAGGTGCGGTGCCCGGAAGATGTTGAAACGATCTGGGGTAGAAGATTGGAGGATGTGGCAGCTTGTCCAAAGCACCTGTGGCTTCTTTTACAATGATGTTGAACTCAATATTTGGTTTTTCTTATTCGCCAGTGCCAGGGTTGCAACAATTCAGGGGTGTGGGAGGTTTGGAATGCTCGGTGATCCAGATGAAGCCGTCTCGTCTCGCTCTTTGAGCGATCGAACGGTGCAGGACTCCATGGGCGTCTACTACCGGCCCGACTACCCCATACCAACCATCAAGCGCTATCCTGGCTCTGGCGCCGCTTGGTGAAACGAAAGCTAAAGAAACACCCTCGGGTGGAGACACATATCATATCTCCTTCAACACCTTAAGAAGCCCAAAAGGCATTCCTGGGTAAGAAGCCCAGGGGACCAAGCAGCCCAGTCTGAAAAGAGACAAACTCGTTTATTGCTGAATCTGAGGTGTGTGAAAACACATGTTGAAAAAACATAATGCAAAGAGAGACTGTTACTGTTACAGGTCGTAGGACACCCCCAAGATAGGTAAATGAATAAGCAGTATATAGTAACCCCCCGCTTACCTGGGTGGTCAAGCATATCCAGGCCTGGGGTTTTAGGTCATCAAACATGCTATTGACTCACCAATCCTAGAGGTCGCTCCCAGCGCTTGGGCACTCATGGACTGATCAACACAGCAAAGAAGCACCTGTACTTTGTGGAGTTCCTACTTTAGTAGGTTGGTGACCTCCAGATGTGTTAGATCAACGTTCATTATATACCCCGGGCATGACCACTGTTTTGCTAGGAAAGGCCCCATATTTGGGGCTAGGTGGTGGTCCAAAATGGTCTCCATCCCTACACTTATGCACTTATACACTTATACATGTGTGACACGGTGTAAGAGGTTGCAGGACGCCCCATGGCTCAAGATCTTTGGATGGATCCGGAAGAAGCTCTTGGAGTAAAGGAATAGTTCATCTAGACTCAGACCGCCACAGACCAGCAGAGGTTGAACCCTAGTTCGACTATCCTAGTTCGGTACCGCAGGTTTTCCGGGTCCGAACGTTCAGGTCATGTTCCCACCTCTGTAGGTACCCTCTCTTCACCCTCTCTTCGCCGGTGCGGGCGGGGTTTTTCCATGGTCTCAGACCCGGACCAACCTACTCGCCTCGTGAGACCCCCACGTCCCAGAGGCAACGGCAGGGTTCACGGTACCGATCAATGGGCTTTGACGGCGGTGACCAGCAGTCACGTTCGACGGGGTGCCGAACTTGGAGGATAGGGGACCAAAAACCACCCAACTCCATGTGACTCCTGGTAGGTCAATCTAGTCAATATCGGGTCATGAAAGGGAACTATACCTGTATAGATGGCCACTCTGGTATGGAATAGTGATATGCTGGTGTTATATTGGAACACTGCACTATCCCTTGGGCTTCTGGCCTACCTCTGAAACTCGGTTCGGTGGGCGGGCTAGTAACTAGTGGGTGGGTCCCGGTCGGTCCTTACCACCGGTCACCTGAGGAGGGACGTGACGTGACAGGAGCCCTAGGGAATTGATCTTCGTTCGTTGTCCTCCCTTGGGAATTGCTCGTCTTGTTCAGTTCGTAGCCGCCAGGAGCTACCAGCAGAGGTGGCTCAGAACCCGAACTAGGCTATCCTATACCAGGACCCTCCTGTCGGGGTGTCCAATGAACTACCCCACACTACCTATAGGCTTCCATTGGGTACCCCTTGCAGGGTCCTGGTAGGTACATGTAGGTACCCCAGGTGATGGGTCCTAGACGTTCAGGTCACGTTCCACCTCTGGCTCGTCCCGATCGCTCCCTTCGTAGCGATGCCCTTGGTGACGAGTAGATCCGCCCCTTTGGACCCTCCGACTGGGCCGACGGTCAGACGGTGGCCGCTTGCCTGGCCTTGGCTCCCAGCGAGCTGCTGCCACGCTGGGCACGTGCGCTGGGCATTTGGGCGCGTTGCAGTCAACCAGATCATGAGGAGGAGCGGCTGAGACATGTGAGCCACCTGAGCAGTGTCAACTACGTAGAATTCACATTTCATTGTGTGCGTGTCTTTTTGGAGTTGACTGTAGGTCAAGGTCAATGTCATTCCAGGTGATCGGATCAATTTGGAAGAGCGTCACACATCTTGTTTAAAGGTTGGAGGAGTATCCGCACACATTATAATCTAAACGTGTCGTCCTGGTTCTTCAAAGTGACCTTTTGATGACCTGGTTTGTTCGGTCACTTAAGCCTCCTAAGGGTCACTTAGGAACCTTCAAAAGGTCACTTTGAAGAAGCTGGGTTAACGTTCTATAAACAACCAACTTGCACTGTACTTAGCAAATGCTCATCACTTGCTGCTTGTTCAAAGCCTTCATGTCTCGAGGTGACCAACCCCCACAAACGCACTGCTCCAGCCCAGCATGCCACGCCTTTGGCCCCGCACCGTTCCGGTGCTCTGGGACCGACAGGATGCGGCGGTGCCGTTTCGAGCCTTGATGAAGCGCCTGACGTCGCACGGCGGATCCGTGGAGGTATCGGGTGGGATGGGCCTGGGGAGCGGAGGACGGGAGGGGTTCTGAAATGGGAGTAGAGTCCCCTCCCCCCCTTCCAATAGAGGTTAAGTGACCTTGTAGGACCCGTCACCAGGGGTGTATAGGATAGTCTACAGGGTTCTTCAACCTTTGCTGGTTCCCATGTCATGATCTAAAATGGCACGCTTCTCAGAGCCCTGGCCCCTTCCACCACTCACCTCGTCCGAGGGACGCGGGACAGGAGACATGTCGTGGAGAAGTTCTCAGGGCTTTACAAGCGACCGGCTTGTTGGACCCTCAGCTGCGAACTGAGTAGCAGTGGACCAATGACCGGGAGTTGGGGGGTTCAACCATGTTCGACCATGTTCGACGTGTCGTGTGTGGCTGAGACCCGGAACGGGCGCCGAACGTATGTGACCCGTGTTCCCTTCTGGGTTGGGTGATGCCTTTGCACCTTGCCAGACGCTGCTTTCTCGATGTCTCATCGTTTGCCCACGTAGCTTCACTTGCATCGCTTCGGGATCAGGATTCCAAGCAGCCGTTCTTTCCACATCCAGCAACCATTCTTCTTTCGGCCGAAGCTTGGGCCGTGGGAGGTCACAGACACCCAGTAGGCTCCTGTTTCCCTATAGGACTCCCGCCATCTTCTCAGAAGGTGGTTACATCCCCCAAGCCCACCACAACCATCTTCTCAGGAGGTAGGCCAGGAGCCCTAGGGAAACATCATAACAATCACACCAGTAATCACACCATGTGGTATGTGCCCTCAGAAAAATCCGTGCCAGGAACGTATGGTGGCACAAAAGGTGATGGATGAAGATCAGGTGGCACGTGTTTTCTGAGATGATGGCCACCTCTATAGGCCCGGCCTCTGTCGAAGGCGGAGGGGAGGCGACTTCGACTTCGAGACACCGGCATCAAATCGGATCCCTTCAGGTAGGTTTGGATGATGTTTAAGCCCTAGGGATCCAGTCGTACCTTCTCAGGTACGGCACGACTGGACCCTGGCACCCACCCCAGTCCCACCTTCTGAGAAGGTAACTTGGATCCCTAGGGAAGTTAGACTCATACTCTCCCAAATTTGCCAGATTTGGGGGGGGGGGGGTTGTCAGGGTGACCAGCAACTTGGAAGATGCTAACCGACCAAGCAGACAGGTGAGAAAACCATGTGACTGGCGTAATATTTTTGGTTCGCAACTTCAGCGTCACGCCGTGCTGTCTTGCTGTCTTCGGAACTGTTCAGGTTAGGACCGGCCAAGTGCCCGGAAAAGGCGGGTCCAGTGCTCAAGGAGAATCGACTGAACAAGGGGTGAGTCAGGTAGAGTCGAGTTAGAGCCGTGGTTGAGACTTGAAGAGGTTGATCTTGGGAATACTGTATCTTTGTGGTGTTCTCCTCCCAACGTCTCTTGGCCTGCCACCTGTGGCGCATTGGGATCACCACCATTCATCACCATTCATCCCTCCTCCATGCTGTGCATTGGGGTCATTCGGTCCTCCGGGGGAACAGCGCTTTGAGGCGGAGTTTCTGTGGATCCGCCGCTGCTTCGACGACAAGACGAAGAAGAAGAAGCAGAACCGGTGCTTGCTGGGTGAACGGAGTCCCCAAAGACTGTGAAGCAGTTGTTTGATGTGGTTGGTCCTGTCTGAAATTCCTTACTTAAGTCCTGCCTTGACTAGTCATCAGACTAAGAACTTTCAGAAAGTCCAACCTGGTCCACAGTTTTGGCACCAGAGCTGCTCCTGCCTCCCTATGTTTCAAGTCCTTTTTCTTCCTTTCTCCAGGCTGATGACCACCGCGCAGAAAAGCCATGATCCACTGTGGTGTGCATCGATGCGAGTTCGCGTGCGCCTCGCGCCGTGGTGTGCGGTCGCATCGATGTAGCGGCGCGGCGCGCGCCGAGCCAGTGGCCGTGAGAGATGGAGAAAAAGTGTGGTCGAATGGTGTGACCTGTTTTTGCTAAGCCGAAGCTGTTTTTGCGAGAGATGGTGATTTGTTAGTTTCCTTTGTGGGTCATAGTTTTTATTTTTGCCGGGAACTTAAGAAATTTTGAGCAATTCCAAGCAGAGAGCAGATTGGCTTCTTGCTCTGAGGGATGGCTTCGGTCAAGGAGTTCCACTCATCAAGCTATAATACTTTATGAGACACCGCGCCGCAGAGTTCACACGAATTTGCCATGGCTTCCGTAAACGGCGGGCTGATGGGAAAGGAAGCCCAGCTTTCTGATGTTGAGCGAGGTTGAACACGTGCCTAATTATCACCACATCAATGGAGAGTTTTGGAGATGTTGAGCGGTGTCCAAGACTCAATCTCCTTGGAGTGCGCAATTCCTGGTCAACACTAGCAGTCACTAGCATAGCATCCTTAATCATCCTTACCAATCCTCGAAGTCCCATGCCATGGCAGCACGCTGTCCCTGTGCTGCTGGGGCTATTTTTACCCACGCTTGGCGAAGCGAGCAGCTCCAATGCAGATACTTCGGGAATGGCCTTCACTGCCGGAAGATGGAGAGAGGGGCAGCCTGCGTATGCTTTCGGCGGTTATCATCCAATTCAATGAGTGAGGGCTAAAGGTGCTAAGATGTTCCAAATCTCTTTGCTTCAAGCAATTTCAACTCCAGGCCCGTTCTTGCACTGATTCTTGGATCTTCGGCCTGAAGAAGCCTCCTAGAAGCCACAACCAGCTCCATGCACCCAACCATAGGAGTCGGGTCTGTTGGCTCCACCGGAACTCTGGCCACCTCTTCAGATCAGTGGACCATTTGAAGGTCACCTCTTTTTGAGGATAGTGGCGCACCAGTTGGTGCACTCCACGAAAAACACAGAACAGGTTGCAATCTTCGCTTCACCTTTGCCACAAATCTCTGGCTGGCTCGGGAGGTCACCTTTTTCGCCATAAGTGTTTTGCTCGAGAAATCGGTGGAGTGTTCCGCCGCGACTTCAACGGTCTGCTCAAGGTGGACCGCTGAGATGTGTGTGTTTCAAGCGCCATTTTTGCCGAGGAGATGGTGAAGAGGTGGCGCATTTGAGCTGGGATGAACTGCAGCAGGTCCCTGAGGACAGCGGCCAGATGTGTTTTGTCAACGTTCTTTTGTGTTGTCTTGGCCTAAAAAAGGCGTGGAATCATTCAAGAATTAACTAAATGAATTGTTGGCTGAAGGTTCCGTTCTTTTCCCTATCCACCCTATCCGTCATTGCGTTTGAAACTCACCCAAATTCCAATGGTCTCATGACCTCCGCATGCGCGGCCTGGCTATGACGACCCATCAAACCCCCAAACCCGGTCGGGCGTGACGACACATCCGCTAGGACCCGTGGCTGGCCAACACCCGGCGGCAGATCTTCGAGCATTGGCCCAAGATCACCATGACCTCCGAGGCGGCCCCAACACCTCCCAACCAACGCGATCGGACGGGACGAGGTATCCAGTGACCTCAAGGTTCGGACGCGGAACACCTGGGGTACCCAACTGCGATAGCCGAACGTTCGGGGTCTGAGATGTTCTAAGCCACCTCTGCTGGTGAACACCTGTTCTGGGCGCATGGGAGACGCTGGACGCCACGCCACGCCGTCTCGGATACAGCGAGTGACCGGTGACCGAGTGGTTCCGGCGACCGGTTCTGTCAGCGAGAGAGCAAGCTGCATGGGGAGGGGACCCCACGCATTGATGTGTGGGTGAGGATGACTATAGATGCACAGCTATCCCCTAGAGTTGGATGTGACCACTGGGGTGTCAGCTTCTCGGGTCAAGTGAATGAATTTAGCGTTCAGTTTAGCTGATCTGATCCGTGAAGCCCGATACTGGTCCACTCCGGGGACTGCGTCGTGTCCTTGGGGCTTGGGTGCATTCCTGATTCTCCTTGCCTTCCTCATTGGCATTTGCTGCGGGGGCTGTGCTGTAGGCTGCATCCTCTCGAGGGGCTGTCAGCGGCTTGGTTTCTTGGTGGCGCGGCTTGGAGCTGCATATCTGGGGCCCGTTCCTCCCTCTGTGCCTCCCTCTGTGCAACAGAGGCTTGCTGAATACCGTCGGGACCTTTGACGAAAACACTGTGGTGCGAGGAGTGGGGTCAAACCTCCATCGACCTGAGGTAGCTATCCAGGCCCGAGTGTCATCGACGCCTTGCAGGAACTCCCCTTAGCCTCTTTCGTTGCCCAACTGCCTCTAAGGTTTTTGGGCTGCTCATTGGCACCAACGTTCGGACTTCGATAGGACCTGTGTGTGCTAAGCCTTTCTCACTCGGACAGAGGGAGACGCTTGATGACCTCTAGCTCTTCAGGGCTCAAAGGGCCTCCCTTGACCTGGGAGGAGGTCGTTGGCTTTGTTCGTGGAGTCGACGAGAGGTCAGTGCTCAGTCTCACATCAATATGGATCCCTTTAGAGGCCGAAGATCCCAAGAGTGCTGGTTCAGTCGCAGTAGGTGCATGTTTTCCCATTTTGGTTCGTTCGCATGGCCTTATGCTTTTGATCCCAAAGAGCGACGAGATTCAGACTGCCATTTTGCATGCCAGTTCAGAGAGTCAGGTGGAACCTGTTTTCTGGGACAGCGAGGTGACTGTAGTGTCTTCGCGCAGCAAAGTTTTGGGCCTGGCCGAATGTCAACTAGTAGATTTAGGATGGGAAGCCATCAGCAATTTCTTCAAGTCCACCGTGCTCAGAGGAGCGGCTGCGCGAAATACTCGTGTGGTCCATTTCCAGGTTGGAGACCAGTCAGGTCGTCCATCCGCCTCTTCAGCCTTGCGACTAGCAGAAACCTGGTTGGGAGAGGGGGCTGGTTTGGACGCCGAGGTGACTGCCGACTATCACACAGGAGTGGAGTACGAGGAGTCAGATGTGCCTTCCCCGTCTCTTGCTGCAAATGGGGATCAGGGCGAGGTTGCCCAGCTGAAAGAGCGCATGCGCGCTTTGGAAGCAGAGTTGGCTCGTGCCCGCCAGCCAGTCATTCCGCCGGGACCTTCCACCGTCCCCTTGCTGCCAGGAGCCAAGCATGGAGCAGAACAACGCTTGTTTGGAACCCAGCCTGCCTCATCAGGACTCAATTCCGAGGAATTGATGAAGTTGCAACAGTTGGCCGGCACTCCGCCGGGTCGTTTAGGAGCAGCAGTTCAGCGTCAATCCTTAAGGCAGCAACAGATGTATCCAATGCTAGAGGGTCTCCATGCAGAGGCCGAGAAGGGTGTCATCGAAGATCCAGCATTGCCAGGACCGGAGTGGGACTTGGAACCGGAGTTGGTTGCAGACCCCATTCAACGGATGCTGTTGCTTCAGATGAAGCAGAACTCTGTTTTGATGCAACGCATGATGGCGCCCAAAGATCCAATGTCTACCCTGCTAAGCGGAGGGGGCAGCGAGTCCGGAAACAACTCCGGAAGTGCCAGAGGGTGCATGGCCAGAGACATGTACCTGAGGACAGTTCAGGATCTTCCCAAGGTCGGAGAAGTCGCTCGGTTGAATGCCATGCAGGAATTGGGCATCTCGATGGACAAGGAAGACAAGGACCTGATGCATCTCTACATAGAGCGGCGAGTCCCCTTGGCCGAAAACAAGATGTTAGCCCATTTTGCCGTTCTCGCAGCAGAAGGGTGGTCGATAGCTCATGTTGCCCAGGATCCCATCATGAAAGGGTTCATTGCCAGGATGCTGTTTTTCATAGAGCAGAGTGCCTTGGACAACTCCAGACTGGAGTTGGGGTGGCTGATGTCAGGGTTCCCAGAACCAAACACTCATCTGCACTTCTCGGTAAAGAGGACCTCGACTACATCGAAGGCAGAATTCAGACTCTTGGAAAACCAAAAGGCAAGCAGACCAGTGCCGGCTCGGAACTCGAAGACGGGGCAAAACCCAAACCGAAACCAAAGGGCAAGAAGGGCAAGAAGGGATCCGGGAAGGATGGGGACAGTGCAGACGCAGCTGCCAGTTGAGGGTTTGCGCGCCCGGAGAGCCTCAGTCTTTGAGTGAATGTATGAGCCAGCCGGCTGCTTTGGGACATTGCAGTGCCTTGGATCGTACTGAGGTTTCATTCGTAAGACATGGTAAAACCGATAAACGTGTAAACAGTCTTGATTACCATTGTGCCAGCTGCATCCCGCACCGTGCCGGTAGCGATTTTCCCGCGCTGGGGCCAGTAGCAGCGCCAGTTGAATTTCTTCTGCCTGTAAGCCTGCCTGCCGCTCCGCCGCGAGCATGCTTATCCCATCAGCCTAATCATGTTTCAGGTCTGGCAGGCTTGGGTGAACATGAAGTCATTTCTACCACAATAGGTGAGTGTGAAACCTCTACAAACACCTACAGCTCTACAGACCTGCGTGCAACACAGCGGGCAAAGCAAGACAGATTCATACTGCCTAAGGTTAACAAATCTAGTTCTTCCCCGAACAAGCCCCTTGCTAGCAGTAGCCAGACGCCTGCCGCGTCGAGTTCGGTTGAGTTTTTTGATCCATATAATTTGATGCAAGATTTTAATAGGGACTTCCTTAGCTCACGGACTGCGCTCAGCCAGTTTTGTAGGAAGAGCCTTGTTTTGCAATCCGTCTCCAATGTGCAGTCCTCTGCAAAGAGGACGTTGTGGCCTGTCCCTCTGCCCAGGTGGAGTTGGACGGCATGCAAACACCTTGGACCCAGGAGACGCAAGCGGAAGCGTCAGCTGCAAACACGACACAGAGCTGTGCAGTTGGTGATAGCTTGTTTGAACTGGGAGACCTTGGGCCATGTGAGTGAGCCGCCGCCTGAGGCTTGCTTAGGACACCCCATTTCCAATGTTCAACATTTGATTATTGAACATATTGAAAGCTTAGTGGAGCATCATCTGTCTGCCGATGCCTTCACTGGGGATGATTTGGGTCGTTTCCAAGAAAAGTACCAAGGTGTAATTAAGCTTTTGCAGGAACTACCGTCATGTCGATTGGCGGGTGAGGACCTCGAGCAGAGTTTAATACAACTGCATGCCGAACTGGACCCCTATTCCAGCCATTTTGGTAAAAGAGGTCCTTACAAAGAAAATGAGTCGCCCAAATCAGACCACCAATGTCCTGTCGACCGCTCGGAGCCGTTACCTATGTCAGGGGCTCGACCTGTCGTTTCATCAAGGATCAAGTGGCAGTTCCCACCAAGTTTCGAAGCTAGTGCTTTTTTGGATGATCCAGTTGTAAAAGCTGCTTTTAATGATCCGGAAGTCATGCGTAAGCCTGAGCAGTTTTGGGAATCCTCTAGGCCTGCAAAGATAAACTGTTCTAGGTCTGAGCTGCTGGATCTTGCACAGAGATGGGACGACTTTGGAGCGTTGAGACTTATGCCTGCAGACCAAAAGCAGTGGGACGAAGCTGTAGGGATGTTTGCTGTAGGTAAGGATTCGCAATTCGATCGCCTCATTATTAACCCTCAGAACCTCAATGGTAGAATGTGGACTGTTAGCGAGTCAACCAAGACCCTCGCCCCTGGTTGTATGCTAGGCCTCTTACATTTGGAACCTTGGGAAGCTTTTCGGTTTTCCGCTGATGATCTTTCGGACTTCTACTACACCTTTCGGGTGAGTGAAAATAGGGCTAGGAGAAACGCCTTTCGCATGAAGTTTGAACCTCATGAACTTGAGCACCTGAAATGCTTCAAGGAGGAGCATGCCAAGCACTCTCATTTGTTGCTTTGTCTTTCAACTCTTGCTATGGGTGACAACCTTGCAGTTGAAATTGCGCAACAAGCGCATGGCAATGTCCTTAAGTTCTTGTGTGGTTCCATGAAAGATGAGGAAACCCTTAAGTATAGGCACCCGGTCCCTAGAGGTAGTTTTATCGAGCTCTTGGCTATTGATGATCATGTTGGCCTTCAGAGATTACCGATAAAAGACATCCCAGAGGAGCCTCCACTTCGAGACACCGAGATTTTCCAGTTAGCTTCAAAGGCTTATAGATCCGTTGGTCTTGCGCAGCAGAGTAAGAAACAAAAACGAAACTGCACTCAAGGGATCATTCTAGGAGCTGACTTTGATGGGTTAAAGGGTCGAGTGATGGCACCCCGAAGCCGCGTGCTGTTGTTGTCTGCCATTTCACTTGCCATAGTTTCCAAACGCACTTGTACACGAAGGCTGTTAAATTTAGTGGTTGGGTGCTGGATTCATGTTCTCCTTTTCAGACGTGTTCTGTTTTCAATCATAGACTCGCTTTTCACTGATGGTATGGAGAAGAAGCTTGACCAGGTGTTTTGTTTGAAAAGACAGTCTCTGAATGAGCTTCAAGTTCTGGCCGTATTGGGCCCTACAGCTCAGTGTGATTTGAGAGTTGGATACTGCAGTGATATCTTTTGCATGGACGCAAGTCCTACTGGAGGGGCTGTTGTTCGCGCCGAAGTTGGGGCTGCAGTGACTCAAGAAGTATGGCGTCACACAGAGCAGAAAGGTTTCCACACACGTTTGCAGAGTCCTGTGTCCCAAATCCTTTCAGAACATGGTATCGAGCCCGATTCCATGCACATGTTTCAAGATCATTTGAAGAGTAATGGACCCCAAGTGGAAGTTCCCCTCAGCCTCAGAGAAGGTTTCGTTTTCGATTGTATTGAGCTTTTTCGGGGAGCCGGAAATTGGTCTCTCGCTCATGAGCGCAATGGATTGCGCGTGCATGATGGGATTGATGTTGATGGGCGCTGTCTTAGGGTCAGCGACATCACCTTCGATGCGGTCTTCAGAGAGCTGGCAGCATTGGCGTGTAGAGGTGTCGTCAGAGACTGGCACGCTGGGGTGCCTTGCCCGTCTTTCGGCACTTTGAGACGGCCCCGAGTAAGGTCTAAGGAAATCCCGTTCGGCTTTGATCCCTCAGACCCCTACACAGCCTATCACAATAAGATAGCTCAGCGGGTGGGCATATTACTGATTTTGGCACTGAAGTATGGTTCCTTTGTCAGTATTGAGCAGCCTCGAAACAGCTGCTTGTTTTTGCTGAACGTGTTTCAAACCTTGATTCGTTTGGGCTGCGTAATCACTCATTTCGCATTTTGCTGTTTTGGTAGTGGATTTCACAAGCCTTCCAAGTGGCTTCACAACAAGCCATGGCTAGTGCCATTGCAGAGCTCCTGTTCGTGTCCCTATAAAGGAAATCACTTTGTAGTCGAAGGTACTTTCACAGAGGCGAGCATCAAGGATTTCAACGAAAGGTGTAGACCAGGTATTGAATCTGTGTATGAAACCATGCCGCAACCCGGAGAACGGGTTTCTGACTTCTCAGCTGTCTATCCTGTCAGGCTGGTGCAAGCCATGGCAGTGGGCAGCAAAGAAGCAGCTCGATCGGGCGTTTCCCCTGTGCCGGCTAGCGCCGTGGCATCCTCTGCACTTGAAGTCGGCCTTACGCTAGATGAGATTTCAGCTGTGCCTTTGCCTGAGCCTCCATACCCGTCGCGTCCCTGGTACGAGGACCCTGAATGGATAGGCGAAATATGTGAGTCTTTGCCATTTCGTGAGGTTTTTAGATTCAATTTTGTGAAACCCGGCCATATCAATGTAAACGAGACACGCACTTATAAGTCCTGGATTAAACACATGGCCAAATCTTCGAGAGATTCCCGATTTGTTGGATTGCTTGATTCCAGAGTGACTTTGGGGGCCAGTGCCAAGGGCCGCTCTAGTTCATTTTCAATTAGCAGGGTTCTGCAAGGTAGCATTGCGTATATCATTGGAGGTAATCTGTACCCGGGTGGTTTGCATTGCTATTCAGCTTCCAACAAAGCTGACGGCCCCTCCAGAGGCCGCCCTTTGGCCCCCCCGACGAAGGACAAGCCGGCCTGGCTTGCTCAACTGGCAGATGGAGACACTAGAGCGTTCGACATAGTAGTGAATTCTTCCAGGGTGGCCCGTGTTCCAGGAAGGTGGATCCGTTTTATTTTGTTAATCCTAGCGGGTGACATAGAATTGAATCCAGGGCCTTCGGGTCCACGCGCAAAGCCACGAGTTTTGCATCCTCGAGGGGCTTTGGATTTGACAGTGGGTTTTGCTCCTGAGACAGCCTCTCGCATGCGGCAGTGCGTGCAAGCTTTTGCTGAATGGGTGAAAGATACTTGCGGATTAGATTTCGATAGACTAGTGCAAGACCCTTTGGCTGTTGGATGGGCTCTGAGGGCCTATGGTGTGCAACTCTTTGAAAGGGGCTTACCTAGGTACTTATTCGTTTATGCAATTACAGGGGTGGCCGAGCAATTTCCTCAGTGCAAATCGTCTTTGACCTTAGCCTGGCAAATCGACCGAAAGTGGCAGATCCATGAACCAGGTCAGTGCAGGGCTGTCCTTCCAGGGATAGCTATTCGAGCTGCAGTCACAGTTGCAACATTTTGGGGCTGGCATATTTGGGTGGGCATCGTACTGCTGGGTTTTGCAGCAATGCTTCATCCGAGCGAGATGATCGCCCTCACAAGAAAAGATCTTGTTTTTCCCAAAGATGTTTGCTTTGATATGACCTGCCTCTATATTCATCTGCAGAATCCAAAGACAGCTAGATTTGCTAGACGCCAGCACGGCCGAATAGATGATGCTCAGATTATCCATTTGGCAGAGCAGATCTTTGGCGACTTCCCTTTGCACTGCCGATTGTACAATGGTTCCATCAGCCTTTTCAGAAAACAGTGGGACGCCGTCATGGCCCACCTAGGTATACCCCACCGACAAGCTCAGCGCGGAGCAACTCCGGGCTCGCTGCGCGGCAGCGGGGCGACTTTTCTCTATGGCCGCACCGAAGATGTTCCTTGGATTGCATGGAGGGGCCGATGGGCTCGAGTGAAAACCCTCGAGTTTTATCTTCAAGAGGTTAGCGCCCAGCTTCTTTTGCACGAGCTGCCTGAGAGAAACCGCGTGCTAGTGCACACACTTGGTGATGCTGCGTGGCCGATCCTATGCGAGCGCTGGCATCTAACCGAGCGCTACCCTGAATTTTACGGAGCTTGCAGCGCAGAAACTGAGAAGCGGAAGTGAGAAGCTGGCCTGTTTAGAGTGGTGACATCACCTGTGCATAGCACATTTCTGGCAGTGCTGTCTTAGATAGCTGAGCAATGCTAGCATTGGCCAAGTTGTGCATAGGATCGGGCAGCTTGGTCGAAAGGAGACGAAAAGGGATGACTATAATATAGATAACTGCATAAGAATGGACTTTGAGACCACTATCCTTGGTAATTATCAAGTCATGGATGTGTTGGAACATGTTTTTGCCTTGTCCGTTGGCATTTAGGTGTTGCTGAAGGTGAATGTGAATGTCACTGTCACTATTTCCTGCATAAAGCACCACCACCACCAGCAGTAGCAGCAACAACAACAACATATGTAAGCAGTTGCTTCCTCCCAAGGCACGGCTGGAGAGCACAAAGCATGTGCCTCTCCACCAAGGCACGGCATGCCACACCCCACGATGTGGGCTCCATATGCCAAACATCATGTTCAAGAAAACACCCCAGAAGTGGAAGACACCCATCCAACATGTTCAGGAAAAATCAACATCACCAGGATCGATGTGTCCCGAAGAGTTACGCCCAAGAACGATCTGGAACGACGTGACTCGGACCCTACACGCTTTGCAGGGCGTTTTTCGAGCTCAATGCATTAATCCCTAGGGCTCCCTTCGCCCGCCCCCTCCTGAGGTGAAGGGACTGGGTGGATGGTCGACTGGGGGGTCGAAGACCACCCGTCACCGAGTCCTGGGGCGGGCCAGGAGCCCAAACGGGATGAATCAACATTCAAGAACACATGCCACTTCAGTGGAACCCAAAACCGGACTCACGTCGGCTTCGAGCGCTCACGTCTGTTCGCTCAGCGGCCCGAAAGAGCGGCGTCCCGAAAGCGCCGTAGAAGGCGCGGATGAGAACCACCACCCTGTTGTTAACCTGGATTTCACAGCAACGCATTGCGGGTGATGTGGCAGAGGCTGGAGCATCTTGGACGAGAAGGGTGTGTTGCAACCAGGCGGTGTTCCAGGACCCGAAGATGGTGGAAGAAAGACATAGGGTTCCACTTGTGTGGGGACTATCCACCGATTTCCACAGCTATTTGCAGCTGGGCGACTGTTCTGCAGCTGGGCGATGTGTTCGATCAGTCGTGCAGCAGGCGGCACCCGACCTGTTCGATGTGCCCCTGAGATGTTGCTGTGTTCAGCGAAATCATCACAGGGTACGTGGATAGCACCACCTGTATTCGGGTGTCATGCAAGATTGGGGAATGCCATCCACAAAAATATGATGTCAGAGTTTGAGCCCTAGGGATTTCAGAGAGTGCAAGTTCTGTCAGGACGTTGGATCCAATGAGCGGTTAACCGGTCAACCGAAGCAGAAGCGGTCGACGCTTTGCCCGGTGACTCATGTGGTTTTGTAGCTGATCCCTCGAGAGTTGACGTCGAACTGCGATACACATTAGTTTCACTCAGGTGATCCATAATCAATACTTTGGGTTTGTCCGAACTGACCTGTAACAGGACCTGTAAACAAGAACATCACTACTCTTGGACAAGGCCTCTACTAACCCATCATCATCCTTTGTTACAGGTAAAAAGGATAGACCCAATCAATATCACTGGTTTCTGATGTGTCCCCCTGCACTTGTTCCATATGATCTCTTCAGATGCCTACCCAGGATTGGATCACCTGCAGGTCACCTGTTGGGGAGTATGGCTTTCTGAAACTCAATATCCAACCTGTGGAACAGTTCCATCGATGCCGAACAGATGTGTTTGTCCCTCCGAGGTGTGGAGAGGAGGCCACGCATTGTTCATGAGCCTCGTGAGCGACATGCGCGAGCTCAATTCCGTGATGGGTGTGTTGGAAACGGCGATTGGAGATCGTGGTCTGGTTGGAACGCTCAAGATTCTGACCGGAGGTGAAGGGATCTTTGGAAGAGTCGTCCTTGATTGAAAGGTTTATGATTCGTTAATGATGGGGTTCCCCCTCACAAAGCGGGGGAGGGCCAAGAGCCCTTTGAGAGGGCGTTTGCATGCGAGAGCGATTTAGAGAGCCGCGTGTCTTTTTCGTGGATGTGGAGGTCACCTGTCATCATACCAGCCTCTTTGAACCTGATAAGAGCCTCCATGTGAGGAGCGGTGTGGTTCAAGAAACACCTCATCGCCTCAGGTGCGAGTAAAGAGCGATGGAGCGGGAGGTGTTCCTTCCTTGGAATTCCTTATAGACAAACATGAAGGCAAAAACCATGCCGCGGCGTAAGTGACACACTAACAGTTGGTGAACCCACAGGCCTAAGGCAGCAAACTCTGCACAGTATCTCCCTGACGACAATTGGTGACACTACTGAAAGGATGACGTCCTTTTTATATATCTTTATATTATAGTGATGCCCAAATAATAGATGGAACATGATAGAACCGGTTTCCAATACGATGCATTTGTATCATTTGTAGTGAGAAAAAACACATATCTATCTATTTGGGTGCGCTTTTAGAACTTATTGAGTTGCTCATGTCTAATACCCAGACACTCCATGTATGCCATATTTGCCGATCAGTTGGGGTGGTTTCAGGGGTCAATGTAGACATATATGGCAGTCCCATGGAGTGTCTGGGATATATCATCCTTTCGCATGAACCTCTGCGGATGAGGAAGTTCGCGTCCGACTACCTGCAACGGATCTCTAGGCGGCCTCGGCGCGCGACTGGGCGGAGAGCAGGAGAGCAGGAGAACGGGCGGACAGGCGAAGAAAAGGAGACAAGAGATGAATATGGTAGACTCTTGATCCATAAACCTTCCCATTTGACTTGGAAATCCTCTTCATGTGGGGGATTTATGAATCAAGAGTCTACATTAGGATGGAATAGGTCCACCTGTCGGTGACAGGAAAAGCTCTGGACCAAGTACTGCCCAGACGCTCTTTTCAGAGTCCGACCGGTCTCTCAAACGCCCTCCATATAAAATCATATGAATACCCAGACACTCCATGTATGCCATATATGCCTACATTGATCCCCCAAACCACCCCAACTGATCGGCATATATGGCATACATGGAGGAGTGTCTGGGATATATGGGACCGATCCCTCCATAGGATTTGGGTCCAGCGCCCGTGCCCAAGCTCCAAGCACCCCAGAAGGTACCAAAGAACCTCAACACGAAGGTCAGTGGAGCCGGGTCATGAAGTGGTATGAGGTTGATTGGCGATGAGGTGGGGGCATTCACTTTGCTTGAGAGAGGCTGCTTTATCCAATGATCTTCAGACATGATGGCCTGGAAGTGGCAGGGTATCTCAGGGTTGCTCCAGTGCCAGTGGAGCTCCGCAGACACGACGCTGGGGAGTTGCTTTTTCGGCTTTGCTACTGTTATCCTGGCTCGTTTCCTTTGCTTCTGAAGGCATGCCAGGCAAGCAAGTTGGGTTTAATTTAAGATGGTCTAGGATGTCTAAGTTCAAGATTTTGATATTTAGGTCTACAACTGGTTTGCAATCCAAATTCTAAAGATTTCTAAACCTATAAAAGACAAATCATCCCAAACCCAATCCAAACCCTTCTTCCAAGCATGCATTTTTGCTGAAGCGCATCCAGGTTTGGCTGCTGGACAGCTTTGAGGGCTTTGGCCATAAAAACGAAGGCATCGACGAGGCTCCCCTGCGACGGGCTCGAGCACGCCGACGGCGCTCCAAACGTTTCTAGTTTGGTTTGAGGTGGCTGTAGGCTATAGCCTATGCTGGGTGCTAGCACTATAGCATTTCTATGATCTTCTATGACTCAACCTCTCAGCTGCCTTTGGATGCAGCGCTTCCTGCCCTTCCTGCAGTCGTTTCCTCCTTGGACTTGTTTCCTGTGGATTCCGTCAGTTCAATCAAAGAGCGCAGGTCTTCAACCGTGTGAACAACAGCGCTGAGGGCTGGTACTCTGTGATCTCCTTGTTTCGCGGTTTGCAGGTGCGCGGTTTCGCTCAAAAAAGAGTACGTGAATCATGTGAACATTGGAGCAGCCCTTCGTGTATCGCTTTGACGGTGCCCCAAACGGGTTGCAACATACGGTGTGAAGTTCCGGTCCTCTTCAATGCCAATGCGTAAACATAACCCAGACACGACCTGTTTGGGACTGCCAGTCCGGACTGCCGAGACTTCCGGCCAGGGGTGGTGCCAGGGGGGTTCAATGTAGGCATATATGGCAGTCCCATGGAGTGTTTGGGTTATGTTTCCTGGTCATTTTTCATGTCAGACCATTAAGGGTACAGACCACGGCCTGAAGTGATGATACATTCGATGATGTTCGATGCCTTTGAGAAGATTTTTTCGGCGTGCTTGTATTTGTCGCACCCATTCTTCATTTTGGATGCCACACTCTAATTTATAAAGAACACATCACATCAAAGTGGACGATGGCCATTGGGAAGACCAATTTCCTCTAGAAGCAGGCGGCGAACAGCGGGTAGTCGCCATCCCTCCAAAGACCGCCTGATGGATTATAATTACACTATTTTTTGGGGGGGGGTGATGTGTTCGACACTTTGATGTAGCTCTTATGCTCCAACTCCCTCCTGAGGTTCGGTGGGGCTGGGTGGGTGCCAGGGGGGGGTCGTATACCGAACGTTGTGAGCCTTAGGGTACCAGGACGGTCCAGTCGTAGCAAACCTGAAAACGGGGCACTGGTGGAGTCTGTGCAGGTCTTAGACTCACGCGTGGTCTTCGTGCGCGGCTTCTACGAGGACCGCCACTCCCCATCTCCGTCTCCAGCCGCGTCTCCAGCGCTGGAGCTCAACAGTCCGAAGGGAGACTGCCTTCGTGTTGCCTTCAAAATTGAATAGGCGTGCGAACATATGCGAACTATTAAGTCAATGCACTGCTTGGCGGTAGACTTCTGAAATGTCAACTCCCCGATATGAAGAGGTCTTACGCCTCCACGTTTTGTGGATGTTTCCCCTAGGGCTCCAACCATATCCTCAGAAGGTGGTTAGAGTTAGACCCCCCCAAAACCCACCCCAACCACCGAACCTCAGGAGGGGGCGGCCAGGAGCCCTAGGCCCTAGGGTTTATTCATCATCAAGGGTCTACACCTGATATGCCCACTTCATCCGCGGCATCTATTTCCTCGCAGGAGTCCCTTTGGAAGGTTCCACCCTTTGTCCGCCTGGCCTTGCTCCGCGTAGACTGCGCTCCTGGGGCACGGAACACAGCGGCGTTTCGCCGGGCGCGAGGGACGCTCCCTGGAATCATCATCCCCGAAAAATCCCGTCGGAGCTCCGAGAACGAAGGTCCTTGGACGACGGGTTCCAGCATCGAAACCTAGGTATGACTGGAGCCCCAGGGCATGGAGTTCATTGTTCATCACCTGTTTAATAGTCTTAATATTCGTGGGCCATGCCATCCACGTAGCCATGGTTCTTCCAGGAGAGTGTATATGTCCTTTGTGTTTGGGAGGGTTGGTTGACATCATGTGACATAGAGACATAGGCATGTCGAAGATGTTCCCTTCCACTTAAGGCACTTGAGGTCATGGGCTGGTTTGGAGACGTTTGGAGGGATTTAGTCTCAACAAAAGGTGTGAGCTTGTTCTTGTGTGTAAACAGGACCATAATGGTTCTATTTGCAAATCTCCTGGGACTTGGGCAAATTTATCTATTGATAACCTGCTGAAGCTCACTGTAGATTAGACCTATAATAGCAAGGTTAGACCTCACAGGTGGCCACCTTTTTGTTGGCAATGAAGATGTTGACCGGCGTTGACCGGCCGAAGAACAGACCTCTACTACACCCCAAGACACTTATAAGACTTAATTAAGAGGTCCGTAAAAAAAGGCCAACATTCCCGTGTTGGTCCGTATTTGTTCCATGGTTGAAATGTAGATAAATTTGGAACATTTGTGGACGTTGATGTTGATATTTGCTGGATGACGCGTTGTTGGCTTTGCAAAGGGTTGATGTGTTCTTTTGGTATACAGGGTCGTTTACAGGCCGCCCATGCAACACAGTCCAGCTGCTTTGGTTTGGTAGTTGCACAGTGTAGAACAAGAGGAAGTCGACCACAACTGAGTGGCTGAGGGCTGCTTGGTATCCTAGCGCTAGCATAGGCCTAATGATAGGCTACGGACCCCCTAGGCTAGCGCATATCATGGGCCTATCCCTGGGCTAGCCCCCAAGACACCTGTGCTGATTTCTGACCTTTTTTGGTTGAAAGCTTTAGAGGCCACAGATGGCCACAGGCCACAGATGGCCACAGTCCCACATCAATCAATCAGATCAATTCAAAAAGCCGCTCCTTGGATGCCGCATGGTGCCGCTTTTGCTGAGGATATGTACTCGAGCATTGCCCAAGTATCTTGGAAGATGGATATTTGCATGGGTTCATATTATCGCTCAAGGGTGAGCTTTGTCCATGTGATGGTATTGATCCGCAAGACTGAGTGAATTGAGAGCGACACATGTTTGACCTTTCTTTACCCTGGTCGCGTTTCCTACCAGCCTTAGGTCCTGTGCTATCTCTACGAGTTTTGGCGGCAGTTATGTTCCGCCACCAAGTGCGTGCCCATGCAGTACTATATGATAAGTTCATCATAACAACATGCTTGTGGCCGTGCATGCATCACCAAGCGGTTACGCCGGAAACTCACGCCTTCAAACATTTCAAAGAACGACATGCACCACCTCAATCTGGGGGTCTGATCAATCTGATTGGTGGGCATTCCGCAGGGTCTGCATGTCCAACTAAGGACTTGATCTCCGTAGGAGCGGATGCGGTGTGTGGGGGCGATGCGAGGAGGCTTGAGGCGGATGCCACCCCAAACATACAACAACAGCCACAACGACGACGACGACCTTGTTGGAGGTTGTGACTCCTTATTGCACAGTTCCCTTTTGCTCTCAATCCCAACTGGTGTGGCCAACCGGAACGGCCTTGATCCACCGGAGCTTCCAAGACTGACTCGGCGCATGACGGTCTTCGTTCCGACAGGAGGCTTCGTGATCATTGACGACTGGGGCACCTGGCCGTCGGCGCAGTTGGCCGTGATTGACTTCTTGGAACAGGGCCTGGCAACTCGACGCAGAAGGATCTCTCTTGGGTTTGTCCCACTACCCAGACTCGACCTGTTTGGGACTGCCAGTCCGGACTGCCAAGAAACGGCCAGGGGTGGTGCCAGGGGTTCAATGGGTCGGCATATGTGGCAGTCCCATGGAGTGTATGGGCTAATTATGTAACTAGAGCCGTCGCGATCAAGAATATATAATTTGTTAAGCGAAACCGTCCTCATCCGCTGAAGCCTGGTCATGGTATATACCCCAAGATCTCTCTCTCCAGGGGCTAAGAGGACTGGTCCAGAGCTGTTGCTGGTAAGGACAAGGACGGCATCAGTTTGAGAGACTGGTCTGGCCAAATGCAAGTGCGAGTATCTAATCTGTTAGAAGTTACAGTAGAAGGCTTCAGGGGTTGGTTGTTCAAATGAGATCCTATGGGCATAAACAACCGAGATCGAGAAGGATTTCAGCATATAGCACCCACTCCATGTCCTTTGAGGTGCTTGACCTGGGTTCAAACGCGGCAGTAGTTATGCATGCATATATATTCCTCCCAAGGCCCAAGACGTCCGCGTGAACATCCGCAAGACCGGTGCCGATGCCATGCTCGAGGCCGGCCGGGTCGCTGCTATCGTCCGAGTCGATCCGAGAAAGCCGTACCAGGAATCCTGTGGAGAGATCCGGACCCGAAGCAATCCGGTTTTGAGGGACTACTCCAGACGCTGTGAACGGAGCATTTGGTTGGACAATACATGAATGCGATTTCTCCCGGCTGGTAGTTGTTTGTTTCACAAACATATTGGCAGGGGTGGCACTGGACATGTTTCTTTCGGGGAGGTCCTCGATCCAATGAAGCACTTGCATGGTTGGTCATTTGGGCAGAACATCGCCAACAGCTAGAGTGTTCCAAAACATGATCCAGGTGTTACTTGTACGAAAACAACACTTGTTGTACACAGCCCGCTCCGTGAGTGTTCAGTCAGCCCGGACAACCCGTCCGGTCCACCAAACCGATGGGGAAGAAGGTGAGTTCGGTTCAACTCTTCCAAACACTTTCCCTAGAGATCCAGTCGTACCTTCTCAGGTACGGTGATTGGAGACACTCTTATGTAGGTGCCAGGAGAGTCCAGTCGTACCTTCTCAGGTACGGTGATTGGAGACACTCTTATGTAGGTGCCAGGAGGGTCCAGTCGTACCTTCTCAGGAAGGTACCACTGGACCCCTAGGGTTTGGGGACCGATCCCGCCAGAGCATATCTACTGTTCGCCTTTGTTCGCCCACGAATCGCTTGTTTCACCAACCTCTTTCGATTCTCCAAGGAGTTGAGCAGGGAGAATGGACATCTTCTGAAATGATGTTCCACCTCAAGGGCCCTATCAATCAAAAGTGTCCTTCTCCGACATCGACGCAGAACGAGAACCCACGTCACTCAATGACTCAAGGAGGGTCCAGATGGTTTCCAGCTTCTTCAGTTTGTGACCTAACTTGAAGGTTCCTAATGAGTGACCCTGCTCGGAGGCTTAGACCAAACCAACCAGGTTATCACGAAAGCTAGCCTTAGCTAGCTGGAGTTGCTCTTGCTTTAGCAAGTTAAGTGACGGGGTGGACGCACCTCAGAAACCTCAAATAATTAATTAAATCAATCTTATGGACCCCCCCCCCCCCCCCC